ATTATAGTATTTTAAATTAAATTGTTATTTTTTTTGTATTGCAATGCGAATTAAGAAAACTATTATACTCTCTAAATAATAAATTATACAACTTATTCAATGAAAGTTATTTTTAATTATATGTTATAATTATAATATTAAAAAAATAAATTTTAAAATTTATGTATAATAATTTTAATTAAAATAATGAATTTTTAGAAAAAAACCAAAATTAAATTTAAATAGCGCAATAAGCCCTGCCAATTATGACAATAACTATATTCGATTATATTTACTGACATTATTAAATTGAATAGATAGTAGAGTATTTGACAAATCGAAAAACGATCACTCAATTATGAATGTCTATAGTATTTTTTTAATTTTTCCTCAAAATTCAATTTTTTTTTAACTCTATTGGCAAATTTCATAAATATTAGTGTAAACACTTGATTATCTCACTTGATTACTTTTTCTTATTTTCTAAATTTCTATATGACCAACCAAACATAATAAATAAATGACGGTAAGTGGAAAAAATAATTGACAAACGTCAACCTGAGAAAAATTCATAATAATAAACCCCTATTTTCTTTATATATTTTGACAATCATTGCAGTTACTTAATTGTTGACTGTTCATTAAACACGTTTTCTTTACAGCCAAATACTTTATTGATTTTCGGAAACTCCTGACTTGTTACAATAAAATTTTTCGATAATTTACAAAAGTCTTAAACCGGAACATCGAAATGACTGATTTTTCTGCAATATTATGGTGTCTCATATTAGGAATTATTAATGTAATTAACTAAGGCATTGAGGTTATGTGCTTATAATATAATTGCTTGAATTTTTGAGTAATATTTTTTCTTTTAAATTCCATAAATTTCTTTTAAATTTCATGAATCTTGATAAATCATAAGTGTTACAAAAGAGCATAAGAAATTGCATTTATATTTTGAAAACAAAATACATACCTATATTGACCCAAATTTAATGTGCATAAACAAAATTAATAATAATAATTAATTGAATTGTTTCGATAACCTAGAATTTTAATCTTTTCACAAAAATAAAAACAAATATTTACTTATAATAAACAATGAATTTTTCACTAAAATTTAATTTCATTGGAAGTATGTAAAATACCGTAATACTTACGTACGTATACGTACGCCACATAATATTAAATCACTTAAATCGCAGCGATTTTATAATTGAAATTTTTTTAAATGCGTCAATTATTGCAAGACCAACTACCGCTTATCAAAATATTATTACAAAATTTTGATATTATCTTTTGTTTATGACATTTAGTACATATTATATAAAATATAGGTTTAAAGGATTAATTGACGTAATAAACGTAAAACAATAGTCTATTTCATGTCATTTTAACACGGGCACTCAAAAATTACGTAATGTTAATAAGATAAAATGTTGAATTAAAAATTTTATCTACACATATACAAATATAGCGTTAGTTTTTTGTTAAGTTTTATTTACGCAGATTTTGAAATACTTAAAATTTCGCTCAATATTTTGAGCGAAAATTTTATAAAAAATATAGAAAATACTCGTTTAAAAGTGTAAAAAGTAATTGAATTTTTCCCATAAACCAAAAACAAAATTTTTAATATCATATTTAATTCACTAGCTTACCGTGATAATAAATTGAGTGAGCGCTGAGCTTTATGACCGTTCGTTGTAATACACATAGCACGCTTTTTCCAAAAAAAAAAATATACAAAATCAGTCACTTTTTTCTTGCAAATGATGAGTTAAGCTAATATTTTTAGATTTTTGATGACAGAAGGTGAAAACCCATTAGAAGAAATCAATCATTTTTCTAAAAAATCATATTTGACTGAAAAAATTAGAATTTTTTCTAAAAAAGGCAATTGAAAATGTGACATATGTCGAATGAGCTCATAATTTTATTAAATAATATTTTTTGAATTCTAAAATTTCTGACGCCATTTAATTTTTATTGCATAGATTTAAAATTTTATGATTTCAATAATTACTTATTTCAACAAAAATATAAGAAATATTAAAATAAAATCTGAAATAGAGTGAAATTAATTTCATTCTTCCCACATTTAAAATTATTATGTAACAAATTGTTATTTATAAAAAATCGTTTATATCAAAGTTTTAATTACAATATAAAGCTTGAAATTTGTTAGAAAATATTTAAGCGCAATTCATCAATTATTTTCTTTTTCTAAATATTTATGGTGGGGATAAGTAGGGGTTCTATATTTTAATACAATTTCAAATATTTAAAACTTTTAATTTTTAAATTTTAAGTTTTACTAGAATCTAATTAAATTTTTCGTTCCACAAGCTTTTATAAATGTGTATGTGTATGTTAATCTGTTTAAAATAAAATAATCACTGGATTTTAATTAAACAATATGAAATGATTTTTAAATCTAGCAAGCATAAGTACTTCCATTCATCCAAAGTATTCAAAAATGCATTCTTATGTGGATCTAGATTACAGTAAGCCTGGAAATGCTACATTATTATATTTATAATTGCCCAGTTTTATATTCAAATCAAGAATTAAATGCGAATATTTTTATGATTGTCAATTACGGGGATTTCTCGGGAAATGCAAGTGATTATTGCTTTTAATTTTTATCACTTTTGCGAAAATAACCTCAAATTTCTTAAAATTTTTCATTTTATTCAGCTCATTTTATAAAATTGTGTTACCAAATATCCGAAATTGAGTTATTAAATATCTTTTCTCATCCTGAGCACATTGCACTTCCATTCAATTACCTAAAAATGCATCTTGTTAAATTGTCAAAATTTTTCAATTTTTCTAATTTTCACCTTTATTATAATTTCGATTATCTTTCGAACTCTATCTTAATTTAAAGTTTTTTTAAATTTACAATAGAACATTCGGACTTATCGTCTAAGCTTTTTTTTTTCCAAAGTTTTCAATTAATTTTTGTTATTTAGTCATTTTATATTCAATAATAATTATTGCCATTGGTCATATAACAAGATGAGATCAGATTCCAAACAAGTATTGACGTAACTGAAATGATGTAAGACAAGATAAATTCATTAGTAATTAGGTTTTAAAAAAAAACTGTAGCAAAAAATGTTACTAGAAAAATTATAGTGTTTAGAATTTTGTGATTTAACTTAAAAATCTCGATATGTTTTGGGCAAAATATGATTTAGTACAAATTGATAGGCTCTTATACACTACAAATCCTTTGAATTATTATTTTGGTATGCTGGGGTTTTGTTAATACAGAAAATATATTCTTATACGAGTATTTCCCAGTTTGTATATGCCTTTACCCACCATTATATACAAAGTATAGGATTTTTTTGATAATTCAGACTTGCATTGAAAGCTCTAAATTAAATTTTTAAACTATTCTCACACATCTTCTGAATATTTTACTTGCAGACTTGTAACATACATACTCGAGTAATTTTTCAATATCCAACTTTTTTTCTATTATTTACCTCCTCTAATTTCTAATATATCTGGAGTTGTTATAAAAAAGGTTAAAAATTCCTTTAGAACTTTAAGCAGAACTGTCGTTTTCGAATATGCTATTTTTGCAGTTTAGATTTATTAAATGCGCTTTATATTAAGAGCTAAAGTAGGATTGAATTATTGAAAATCCCTTATTGCATAATTTTCAACTTTGCAAAATCTTTTTTATTCATTTTTTCTAAAATTGTCCTCCTTTTCTTAGAATGTCTCCAATCTTTTATATTCAAATCACTACAAATAACTTTTAATTTGTGCCCAAATATTTTCTCTATGCTTTCGCGGATCTAAAAGCAAGCCATGATTTTGGAGATGTCTTTGGAGATTTCTGAAATAATTGAAATTTTTTTCTTTCAAATTGAAACACCATAATTTTTCAATTATTAAATTTTAACATTTTATTTGAATTTTTTATTTATATTTTGTTTTTGTTTCATTTTTTTTTCGAATTTTTATCAAAATATTTTAAATTTTTTTACACATAAATTTCTGATTTAATTTTCTTTGTTTTTTTTTTTTATTTTTATTCTTAAATAATAAACTTAAATTTTTAAATTTTATTTTTCATTTTTAATTATTTTTTTCTTTATATTTTTTTTCTGTTATACATTTATATAAAACAAATTTTGTTTATTTTTATTTTATTGAATTTGATATTACATAATTCTAAATAAATAAATTAGTTTTCTATTAATTAATTAAAAAAAAAGGTTTTTATTTACTTGTTATTTGTTTTGTTTTTTTAAAAAAAAAATTCATTAATTAATTACATAGTTTAAAAAATAAGGTGCGCAACTATTTTGTTTTTTTTTTTTTTGTTATCCTCTATTTCAGTTGATTATTTTCTTTTTTACAATTTATCATTAAAATTATTTTTTATATTTTGTTTTGCCTATTTATTGATTTTATTTTATAGGATAATCGGTTCCATTAGTTCTGTAAAATTCATGTAAATCCGGTTTAAAACTTTAAATTAATACCCAAAAACCTAACATTACGCTATTATTTTGCATTTAGAGATTACATTCTTATAATTTTGACATTTCAAAGACATATAATGTGATTGACAAAAAAAATTGACATTTTATAAAATGACATTACAATTAATTAATTCAGTTTTTGTTATTGTTTGTTCTTGTGTTTGTAAAATTTTAGGTTTAGGTTTAAATTAAAGTTTCTAAGGTTTTTATACATTCTCTTATACAGAACTAATTCAATTAGAAAAAAATATATTGTAATTTGAAGTCAATATTTTACAAAGATGTTATTAAACAAAAAAAAAAAAACACTAATTTTACTTTATACAGAAATATACACAAAAAATAATCAAAAAATGATTAAATAATAATAAGAAATTGTACAGAAAATGTTAAAAATATTAAAGACAAACAGAAAATTATGTTATTTTTTTTTTACAAAAAAAAAAAAATCACACATTTTATCTATGTAGAATTTTCTTTTCTCAGCCTTTTGTCAATATTTTCATATTATTTTGACATTTTGTTTGAATAGTCTAAACCAAGCTTAATTTTTTTTTGTAGACATTTTGCATTATAACTGTAAAATTTCTCAACAACTCATATGAACTATTTATTTGTTTTCGCTTAAAGCAAAAGATCATTCTGTAACTGCTTTCTGCAAGAAAAGCAGAATTTGTAACATGAGTTGTTAAAAATTTTACAGTTACAATTGCAAAAAAAAAACCTAAAAACCCTACATATATCTGTATTTAAATTTATTAACATTTCAACTATTTTAATAATGGATCTTTTTTAAATAAAAAAATTTTTCAATGTGTTTTCTTGTATATTAGAAAATTTTTTTTATCTATTTTAATTATAATCTTATAATTTATTTTAATTACATCATTTAATTTTTCTTAATTTAAATTGGGTGTATATAATATTTAATTTTTTGCTTTTTTTTTTCTTTTATATATATATATATATATGCATCAGGTTCGAGTTATTTTTATTATAATATATAAGATTTATTTTCAGTTTAAATAAATAATTATTATCTAGGTTAATATATATATATATATATTTAATTTATTTCTATGTTGAAGATTATTTTTACAAAAAAAAAAAAAAATTAAAAATATTATTTTCAAAAATCTAACAAAAAAAATTTTTTTTTTTTAGAAATAATTATTACAAAAGAAACAAGACTAAGAAGAAGAGAAAAAAAAAAACGAACTCCAAATCGAATTTTTATTATTAAAAAGACAAAAAGTGCCTTAGCATAATTCTGTTCTTGTTTTCTGATTCATCTTAGTTGATTTGCAAATAGGATAAAATTAAAATTAATATTTGAAATATTAAACTCAAAAATATTTGTCCTTAAATAACAAGAGGGTTTTAAAAACAAAATTCCATAGAAATTTTGAAATTTAATGTTTTATAGTTCAGACATTCACATGAAATTTAATAATAATTGCAAGAATTTTAACATTTTTTTCGAATTGCAATTGACAATTTTTTTATAATTATTAAACATTTACTTGATCTCCCTAATAATATTGCAATTCATGACACAGAAAACCATTCAAATTTAATCAATTAATAATTAAAAAATGAAAAATAGAAAAAATTTTAAGGAATTAGTGAAAATATTTTTCTATTATTTTTAAAATGCATGCATACTGCACTTAAATACAAAACAATTAATTAAAGTTATAAATTGTTAAAACAAAAATATATAAAAAAAAATTTGTTATTATTTCACAGAAATATTAAATTTGTTATCTTAAAACAAAAATCAAAATTTTATACTTATTTTACACGTTCATTTCACTCGTTCTTTCAATACTTTATTAAATTTTCAAATGTTTTGCAATTTTTAAGTCTGTCTTGATTTTCCTTTACTTGCATTAGAAAATTTTTTAAGAATTCACAACAAATAATTTAAATATTTTGTTGCATTTAAATTAAAAAACAAATAATTTTTGATTATAATTTTTTTTTTTAGTTTTTTATTTATTTAAGAACAAACATATTTTTTTTTTTTTTAAATTGTTCTATAAACATACAAGATTATTAATTTTATACAAAAATTTTAAGAGATTTTAAGAGTTCGTCAATAAAAACAAAAAAAAAAAAACACACATATTAAGTGGTTAGATTTAAATTTAAAAAACAATTTTTTAATATTTTTGTGTGAAATTAAAATTTTAAAATTTTTTAGAAATTTGAAGATGAAAGCTTTTTTGTTAACTTTTTAATGAATTCCAAAATACATACAATATTTATTTTTCAATAATTCTTTTTCTAAATATATTTTTAATTTTTCCTCATAATTAGAACAAAAAAAATTTTATGGTAAAAAATGACTTTTTATTAAATTGGAAAATATTTTACTTTATTTTATTTTATTTATTTATTTTTTTCTAATTCTAAAAGAAAGCTATTTTTATGTGTTCAAAATTATTGGTTTAAAGAATAGTTTTTGAAAAGATTTCTCTTTTTTACATTTCTTCTCAAATAAATGGAGAGAGAGGCTGCCCTTAATATTATTTTATTTGATATATTCAAAGGGCTACTACTAATTATTTCATAATTTAATTTTATAAAAACTGCTTTTAATATAAAATAATAATCAGAAAATTTTAAAATGAATTATGCAGTCTAAAAAAACAAAAAAAATTGATATTTAAGAGAAAATTTAATGTAAAACAAAAAAAAATATAAAAATTAAAGCTCATTTTTTTCTCAAAATTCTCAATTTTTAATTTAATAATGTAAAAAAAAAATTTCCCTCTCCATTTATGATACCTATACAAAGCTGTTCGTATTTATTTTGTTCTACATTATTGTTTTTTATTTGTTTCTTATATGGAAAAAAAAAGTTCATTTTGTATTTTATTTTTTAATATAAATTTGCATGTGATATTTTTCCACAGCCACTCAAATTTAAGAAATAAGAAGAAAATACCACTTTTGATAAAAATTTTTAAAATTCTTTTTTAAAATAATTACGTCATTTAATTACATTTTGTTTGTTTGTTTTTCTTATCATTTTTCAATAAAAAACAATTTTATTCTTAATAATTTTAATTCCCTCTAAAGACAGTTTTTACCAAAATGTTCTTAGAAAAAAATTTCATAAAATTTTTTGCTTTATCGTTTGTTTGCATTTTTTAATAATTATGGAATTTTTCCTTTCTACCAATTTCTATAAGATTTACAAGTTCTATTTATGTATATTTATTTTAATTTAAAAAACATGAAATTCATTTTTATTTTTTTTTTATTTTAATTAAATAACATTTTATGATATTTATTGTTTATTTTTATTATTTTTTTTTCTTTAATTTTTACTCTAAATCTAAATTGTTTTTTACGATTTTTTTTTCACTTTTTCTTTTATAATTAATTTATTAATTATATATAATAAAGCTCATTAAGTTAAATTTAGGTAATTAGTGTTTTTTTTTTTAATTATTATTATTAATTTTTTTTTTTTATTTTTACATTTGTTTCATTATAATAATTAAAATAATTAATTAATAATAATGATAAGAATCTAATATAAGGGGTGGGAAAAAAAAAATTGTAATACTGAAATTTGAAAAATTTTTTTTGTTTTTCTGAATAAATTTTAAAGAAAACAGGAAAAACAACATAAATAAAAACATTTTAACCACCCCTCATAAAAAAATTAAAAAAAAAAAAAAAAATGGAAATATTCCAATAAATTGAAAAATTCGATTTTTTTTTTTTATTTTTAAATTTTTTTATGAGGGGTGGTCAAATCGTTTATGAAAATTTGTTTTCTTTAAATATTCTAAAAAATTATCATCCACCCAATGAACAATTAAAAATTGAAATTTTAAATTTACAAAATTTTTACCAAAATTAATAAAAATTATTATAATTTTTAATTGTAATTTTTTTTTCATTAATTGAAATAATAAATTGAATAGTTTAAACATTTTTTTTACATTATTAACAATAAATTTTATGAAAAATATACACGCATAACATCTGTAAATGGTTTCCGGCACATTGGACACTTTGTTACAGATGATGCACATTTTGCACATGCAACTACATGACCACATGGTAAAAACGCTGTATTATATTCAGCAGCATAACATATTTTACATAATTTTTCTTCAGATATTGTTATAGATTTTTTCTCATGATGTAAGTCTCTACTAATATGATGATGATGACAATCTAATTTTGGTTGTTTACATACAGTTTCAGCCTCTTTAGAACTATTGCTATTTACAGAAGTAGTACTTCCAGTACCTGATGATGATGATGTAGATGAAGACGATGATGTCGATAATGATGATGATGATGATGATGTTATTGATGTACCACTATTATTTTCTTCATCAGAACTAGAAGATGATGTTGCAGAACTGCAATTATTACAATTAACTTTTTGATGGCTATTATTAACATTACTATTATTATTATTAATATTAGATTGTTCTGCTGTTTTAGTTGATGTTGCTTTTATACTTGATTTTGCAGGACTTGTTGTTGAAGATGTTGATGCAACATTTGGAACTTCATCATAACTGCTGTTATTATTATTAGAATTATTATTCGTACATCTAATGTTAAAACTATTTTCAATTTGTTGTTCATTTTTATTTTCATTTGTTCCTAATTCTTTGGATTCTTGTTGTTGTTGCTGTTCTTCTTCATCATTTTCTTCAGCTGTTTTAAATTTTTCTGCTACGGCTTGAACATATTCAATACCTTTCATTAATTTTAAATAATGACAATTTCCTAACCATAATGCATGCTGTTCCCATGGATCATCATTTTCATCCCAATCTTTAAGACCACCACCACAACTAAAGCATTTAACACGATCACCAATACCAGTATAAAAGAAACCAGCTTCACTTAATTGTTCTGGTTTTTGTTTCATATTGCGAGGCCATTCACCAAATGAACGTAATCTAGCTGATTCAATTGCATATTCAGGATGATCTGGATATAAGAAATTTGTTTGTGTTGTAGCTGTTACTGAATTTGGTGTATTTGGTAAACTATTTATTGGTGAACCAATTGGTGATAATGATGATATTGAACCTTCAGCATATGCATTTGGTCTTACTTCAATAATATCATTAGCACCGCATACATCATAACTAATTGGTGGTAATAAACGATTTAATGATTCACAATCAATTGGTACATTATTTGTTTGTCTACGACGTATTAATGGACAATTTGGTGACCATCTTGTATGTTCACTAATTGGATTATCATTTCTTTCCCATCTACCAATTTCAACTTCACAAAAATAACATTTTACTTTATCATCATCACCAGTAAAAAAGAAACCAGTTTTTGCTAAAATTTCTTTATCAATAAAATCTAACGGCCAATCTCGGAATGTTTTTAACCGTTCATTTTCATTGCAATATATTTCACTCATTCTTTTTATATTACAAAATGGTGGCGTTAGAAAATTATCGGTTTTATTGTCAATTACATCTCTACTGCTACTTGTAATAATTTTTTTATTAAATATTGGTGCATTAAAATAACTTCTTTGATGATAATTAACATTTTTATAATTTATAAATGAAAAATTGCTACCTATTGATGATGATATATGATCTGTTTCTTGATTATTACTAAGAATTATTCTTGCTGATTTATTTATAATATTATTTCCTGTTGTTTTTTGTTGTTGTGTTGTTGTTGTTGTTGATGTTGTTGATGATGATAATGGATCATTTAATTTACTTGCTGGTGGTAATGATGCAAGCATTTTGTTTAATATTGTACCAATTACACCGGATAGAATAATATAAAAATATTCGTAACAGGAAATTATTTGTTGTATCCAAAAATTTCTGTAAAATAAAAAAAAAATAAAAAATTAATAAAATTAATTTTTTTTTAAAAATTTAATAAAATTTATTTCATTAGTTTTAATATTAATTCATGTTTTTTTTTTTACAAGTTATGAGAAAATAGAAAAAAAATATCCAGAAAAATTTCTTATTAAATCAAAAAAATTTAAATATTTTTTGACTTTTAAATAATTTTTAATAAACATATTTCTGATTATGATCCGAAATTCTCATTATTATTTTATGTACATATTAACAAAAACCTAATATTTCCATTAAACGGTAACACTGTCCCTAAAAAACCTCATTAATTATAAACGTATCCATTGGAAACCCGGCAGAGCACTTTACTTATTAATTTTTTATTAAATATTTTTTAATATTAATAAATTTTTATTAACTTACAATATTAAATTTAAAATAATTTGTAATTTTAATAAATTTTCAATCAAAAAAAAAATTATAAATTATTTTCGCAAAAGTCAGTCAGTTTTCTTCTTAGGTTCTTCAGAACTCCAAATTTCAATTTAAACCGAATGAATAGAAAATTTATTTTTTTCTCTTTATATACTATATTTTCAATAAAAATTTTTATTTATTTAATCTATAATATTCTAGTTGTATACTCTAGATATTTTATAATCTTATCAAAAAAAAAAATTCTTTTTACACCGTATTTTCCGTATTCTACTTCAAATGCGTGTTATCAGGTTTTTTCTTTTTATAAATGTGTTTTCAATTAATTTTGAAAAATTTATTAATTAGTTGAGTGGAAATTCTTAATAAAACTAGATGGATGATATTTGTAATCTTTATTTAAAGTAAAATTGTAAAAATAAAATAAATATAATTTTAACTTGAATAAATTGTAAAATATTTATTATAATAGTAAATATTATTACAAAATAACATGATATGTTTGAGTGTGTGTGTGTGTTAATAAGGGTGTAAATGAATATATTGAAAATATTATTTACAAAATGACAAAGTAATTTTTTAAAAATATTTATTTACCATTTTATTAAAACAACAAAGCCAAAATTTTTAATTTATTTAATTGTTATATTTTTGGTTCTATAGCCCAATTTATTTAATGGAAAAATTTATTTAATTTTTTTTTTAATTTTATTTTAAAACTATTCCGTTATACGTTACACATAAAATAATGTTAAAATTTTATTAATAATATCGTGTGAACTAATTTTATAACATTATAGTCTTTAATATTTAAGTAATAATTATAAAATAAATTTTATTAACCGGAATAGAAAACAATAAATAATAATAAATAAAATAGTGATGATAAAAAAATTAATTAAATTCAATTTTAAATAAAATTTAATATTAAAAACCACACAAATAAATTTAAATGAAAATCACTAAGAAAAAAAAATGGTCACCATTTTATACTAGAATTTCATATACGTCAATAAAAAAATTCATTTATAAATAAAATTCATTCATTCATTATTGTGTAATTTATAAAATTCAATTTGAATGTCATAAGTTCGGACGAAAATTCGGACATTTTTCGTATATATTTTTCGAGAATTTTTAAATTTAATATTTTTTTAGTTAAAGAACTCTAGAGTTATTACTTAAGAATTAATATCGATAATATTAATATAGAATAATATAGAATAAATAATAATTATTTAATTTATTTTTAATAATATTTTTTAAATATTAAAATTTAATAAATAAATAGTTGGGCGTAATTTTTAATTTTCTTCAATTTTAAAGTGAAAAATCTTGTTTTAATTTTTATAAAATGCACACACAATTTTTTTTTTCTTAAAATTTTTAAATTTATTTTAAATTTTTTTACAATAATTTTCTCTTTTTACTTTTCTGTATTTTTTTTGCGCGAACACACAAATTTTCTATCGCCCGTGTCACAATAAAAATTTAAAATAAATAAGAAAAATCAAGACAAAAAGAGCATTGTATAGAATTTTGTAGTAGAAAAATTTTCAACTAAAAAAAATTTTTTTTTTCTATTTTTTATAATTAATAGTAACTTTTTAGTAATAAAAATTGTATGTGCATATAACTGAACTCTCAACATTTATTATGAATAAAAAAAAAAATAAATTAAATATTTTTTTCTCTACACATTTCGTGTATACTTACATTTAACCATACAAAGGTATACATACTTATAAAACACATAATAAAAAAAAAATTAATAGTTTTAAATATTAAATAGCATATGTGTGTGTTTGTATGTAACAAACATCATACAATTTTTACACACACTGATTTTTATTTCAACATTTTCTTCCCAATGAATGTTAGTTAACTAATCATAATAAGTATTTAAAATACGAAAAAAAATAATAGTAGTAACTATACTAGTAATATTAAAAAAAAGAGTGTAAAAAAAAATATTAGTTACGACGAACATTGCATATAATAAAACATATCTCTAATATATATTTTTTTGTATGAGATAGCAAATATGTATGATTGCTTGTGTGTTGGTAATTCATGATGCAAAGCATATGTATAACTACATTATCTATATGATTGCATAGTTATAAAACAACAATAACATGAACGTACCACCGCAATAATGCAATTCAAAACTCAAATATTTTCTATTTATATATATAGTAGCTAAGTATATAATACTAAGCTCAAAGGTAATTTCACACAAAAAAAAAAAGCAAAAATAATAATAGTACAAAAAAAAATAGTTAGTTTCCATTCACAAAATCATACACACTCATACATAACATACATGTACACACATACATACTGTTTATATATGAGATTTTTTTTTTTTTTTCTGTAATAATTTTTGAAGCCCAAGCTAATGCAGTCATATGGTGTGATAGAATTGATAGCGTGTTTAGAAAAATAATAAAAAAAAAAGTAGTAATAATGAAATAAAAGTAGTAGTAACTAGTATATGTATGAATATAACTACACATCTACATACTATAATTACATTTAATGACGATTGTGTGGTAAAAATAACAAAAAAAAAAAATAAAATAAAATTTACACGAAATAACCGGCACGGCGGGTGTTTGTTTGTTTTCTATTCCCTTTATTTTTTTGTTTGTTTTTTTTTTCTATATGCAAAATTTGCAAGTAAATTTACTCTACACGTAATATTCAGATATTGGATATGTAAATTTTTATGCACATAAATTGCATACCCTGTTAGTTAATTGCATACCTTTGTATTACTATAAGTAGCTATATATGTAAAAAAATTATTTGAAAATCGAGACTAGAGAAAAAAAAAGAGGTTAGGTAAAAATTATTTTTTTTTTTATTAATTAAAACAGTTTGTAAATTTTGTGAATAATTTTAAATTCAGCAAAGCTGAATTATCGCAATTTTGTAGTAACATAGTTTGTAAATGTTATTCAGCTAAAATTTAAGTTGCTGAATAATAAAGTTGTAATCGAATTAGTTCCGTAATTTTAACGTTGCGGTAATAATCCGATTAATTACGTAATTCAGCAATTTTAACTCATGAGCTGAATTATATATTACTACTATTATACACTTTTGAATTCATAGATAATCCTAAACTCCCTCCCAAATATATTAATCAAAAGAATTTAAAAATTCGAAGAAATTTTTTTCAAAAATAATTAAAACAATAAATTTAATTAAAAACAAAAAAAAAAATTGGCCAAATTAAATTGATAATTCGAACAATTAAATTAAAAATACTTAAATTCTTTTTAAGGTTTATCTCATCAAGGGCTAACATGTTTTTTTCTTCTGAATTTTATTTTCGTTCGCTAATTTTAAAAATTTTCCATGAAATTATGGTATTTGTCATCATATTGATTGATGGAAAAGTAACAAGACCCTTTTGTTTATTTAAAAAAAATAAAATAAAAAAAAAAATATTATGATAAATATAAGAACAACATAAAATGATATCATTGTTTATACCTCATAGGTGCCATTATTATTTTTTTATCGTATCCATAACAAAAATAATAAAGTATATCGTAATATACGAAAAAATAATTTAGAATGACTGGCCTTTAACCATACTCCATCGATTACAACATGAATATGAAATTCAAATAAATTAGAATTTAGATATCAAACATTATTCATACAGTTTGTTTGATTTGATTTAAGTTTAGATATTAAACATTGTAAATTGCAATTTGTTTGATAAAAATATTGGGGAAAAAGCTTTCTATTCTGCTACATTTTAAATTTTAAATTAAACAAAATCAAAAAATATTACCCGAATCAAAGTTTCATCAAATTAGAATCGAACACAACAATAACTGGGTGAGATTGTTTGATAACGCTGATACTGAAATGTTTAAATGTTTGATATCGTAAAACCCATTTTATTTTCAAACATTTTAACTAATTTAAAAATCCTCTAAGTTAACTGAACATACCATTATGGTTAAAGCTATTAAATTTAACATATTAACTAAGAGAGAAGTAAAATTTAAATTTTTAATAAATACAAACTTATAGCTAAAGAATAGAATTATTAGAATTTTCTCTATATTTATGCATTCTCACTTACTTTCATAATTTATTTATGCTTTTCATTATATTTGAAAAAAAAAAACAATTTACATTTAAATTTTAATATTTTCCCATGAAAAATTTTATTGTTGTAATTTTTTCTCTTTTTTTTTTTGTTGTTATTCTATAATGAATTCTAAGCATGGCTATTATTTAAGGTCTCTCTATTTTAAATTTTATTTTATTTTTTTCTCCATTATTTTATTAAAATGGGTTTATTTTCTATGTTGTGTCATATTATTATTATTATTATAATGTTACAGTAATTATTACTTAAATAATAAAAAAATTTTTGTATATATATATATATATACAATTGTATACACTTACATAATAATTATGCATGCATGTACAACATGTTGTATGCACAACAACAACAACGAATAAAATAAATTTTAAGTGAAAAAAATGAAATGTTTTACAACCCCTACTTAGAAAATCTCCACTCCATCTACAAAAAATTTGAATGCATG